GAGGCGCGTGCAAGGCAGCCCCGGCGCCCCAATAAAGTCTGTTTTGACGAGACAAAAAAAAAAGTTACTGGCGTGCCACGTTTGGCATGCGTGCCAGGGGTTGCCCACCCCTGCCCTAGGCTTCCTGTCACTGCAGCTGTCACCTTCAGGAACACAGGAGAAGGGCAGGGACTTACGATGGGGTGTCCTCTCCCACAGGAGCTCATGGGCCAGCACCCAGCCCAGAAGGGCCAAGCCCATAATTTGGCAGAAGCAACAACACACCTAATTTCTGGAAAAGGAAAGTGAAAGCTAAACTGTCCTCTTCCTGCAGATGCCCCATTTTGGAACTTCTCATTGGTTGGCCTAGATCACATGCTAATCAGAGGGCGGTTCCAGCACGTAGAAAGTTCTAGCTTCCTTTCCTTACTCACACCTACTCCCCTGCATCACTCTCGATGGCACCCACTTCTCACCGCTACTCCCGACTGCCCACGGATGAAAATCCCAACAAGCTGGAGGACCACAAGCTGCCAGTGTGGAGGAGGATCCTCCAGGGCCTATTGCTGGTAGCGGTGGTCGGTCTGTTTGTGGCGGTAGTGGTTTTGGCTGTCAAGATGAACAGCCCAGCTTGCAAGGATGGCCTCCCGGCTGAGCAGGAGTGTCGAAACATCACCCACCTCCTGGAGCAGGAGCTGACCCAGGCCCAGGAAGTCTTGCGGGGAACTGAGGCCCAAGCTGCCACTTGCAACCAGACTGTGGTAAGTCACTGCCCCTCCTAGAGAGGGCCCTGTGCTTGGGGGACTCCCAGGGTCTGGGTGCTTGGGGACGCCCAGGGTCTAGGTGGAGATCCAGATAGACCTTGAAACGGCCCCTAGGACCCTGCATGGGGAGTCTGAATTTCCCCACCAGGGTTTTGGGTAGCTCTAAACTCCCTCTGGGGTGCCAGTGTGGGACCCCAGAGCACCCAAATAAGGGGCCTCAGTATCCCCAGTAGGATGTGGATGAATCTCCAAACTCTAGGACATTGGTCTAGGGCAGTGGTCGGCAAACTCATTAGTCAACAGAGCCAAATATCAACAGTACAACGATTGAAATTTCTTTTGAGCCAAATTTTTTAAACTATATAGGTAGGTACATTGTTATTAATAGGGTACTCCTAAGGCTTAGGAAGAGCCACACTCAAGGGGCCAAAGAGCCGCATGTGGCTCATGAACCGTAGTTTGCCGGCCATGGGTCTAGGACAGCTGGGAACTTCCCTTGGGCACAGTCTTAGGGAAGCTGAATTCCCCTCTGGGGTTTGGGATGGGGAACCCACCAGACTCTGAAGAAGGCAGGGGCATTTTTTTTTTTTTAGTTTTTATGTATTGATTTTAGGAGAGAGGAAGGGAGAAAGCAAGAGGAACATTGATTTGTTGTTCCACTATTGATGCATTGATGGGTTGATTCTCAGTATGTGCCCTGATCAGGGATTGAACCCACAACCTTGGCATATTGGGATGACGATCTAACCAACTGAGCTACATGGCTCAGGCAAGGCAGGGGTTCCTGATACCTCCACTGCATCCCTGAAAGGCAGCATTTTAACTGAGGTCTTGATGTGGGGGACCTTGAAATTCCCACTGGACATCTAACTTGGGTACAGAAATCCCACAGTGTTCTGGGTTTCAGGGGACATCTAACTCTTTTTGGGCAATAGCCCAGGGGATCTGGACATTTCTCCTAGGCTTTGGGCCAAGAGAGTCTTCAAATTCCTAAAGTGGGGGGAGGGGGGGTTTGAAACTCCCATTTTGAGGATCACACCCTGAGAGGGTGGGAGACAAGTTCAGAGAGGGTTGGCAGGAATCCTGAAAGGGGTTTGGCCCTGAGCCCCTCTGACTCCAGGGCCTGGAGAGGGAGGGGGTCAGGGCCCAGGGACAGCAGCCAACCCACCAGGGACAAGAACCCCAGTTTCCAACACCCTTACTCTTCCTGGGCATTTCAGGAGACCCTCAAGATTTCCCTGAAAGAGGAGAAGGCTGGGCGCCTCAAGCAACAGGAGCTGGTGCAGAAGCTTCAAGGTGAGAAAAACACAGGCCCGGTTGCAGTCAGGGAGTTTGCAGGAGCCGGTCAGGTATTGAAGAGGAGGGAGGGGGAGGGCCTCTGGATTGGGGTCGGGCTAGAGGGACAGGACCAAACCCAGTGGAAGTAGGAAGGGGCGGGCATGCCAGACTTCTAAGGTGCACTGGCTCAATGAAGGCGGGCTAGAGGCGGGGTCCTGTCCCGGGGTGGGGCCAGTTGAGGGGCGTGGCTACGGTGCGGACACACTCTCTGTCCCTCCTTAGAGGAGATCAAGACATTGAATCAGTCGCTGCGGGACAAATTCTCGGATCTGCAGAAGAAATCCGGGGATCTGGAGAAGAAATCCGCGGATCTGGAGAAGAAGTCCACGGAGCTGCAGAAAAAATCCGCGGATCTGGAGAAGAAATCCGGGGATCTGGAGGAGAAATCCGGGGATCTGGAGAAGAAATCTGCGGATCTGGAGAAGAAATCCGCGGATCTGGAGAAGAAATCTGCGGATCTGGAGAAGAAATCCGCGGATCTGGAGAAGAAATCCGCGGATCTGGAGAAGAAATCCGCGGATCTGGAGAAGAAATCCGCGGATCTGGAGAAGAAATCCGCGGATCTGGAGAAGAAATCCGCGGATCTGGAGAAGAAATCCGCGGATCTGGAGAAGAAATCCGCGGATCTGGAGAAGAAATCCGCGGATCTGGAGAAGAAATCCGCGGATCTGGAGAAGAAATCCGCGGATCTGGAGAAGAAATCTGCGGATCTGGAGAAGAAATCCGCGGATCTGAAGAAGAAATCCACGGATCTGGAGAAGAAATCCGGGGATCTGGAGAAGAAATCCGCGGATCTGCAGAAGAAATCAGCGGATCTGCAGAAGAAATCCTCGGAGCTGGAGCAACTAAGGTCAGGACACTCACCCACCCCAGGCCACGCCCCTTCCTCCTTCCAACCCCAAGACCTAGGATCCCCATAGCCCTGGGGACAGAGTTGGAGTCCCAGCCTTGTCCCTCCAGTCACCCAACTCTGGGTGGCAACCGGCCACTCCCCTGCCCAGTGACCTGGTGGGGAAGGAGAAGAGATTTTGAGGGGCTTCGAACCCAGCACCAGTGCAGCCAGACCTGGCAGCCTCCTGAGTTGTCCCCATCTCCTCCTCAGAAAAGAGAATGAGGACTTGGTCTCTGCCGAGGGCCCCCCCGACTCCGGGATCATCGTCCTTCTCTCTGTGACCGCCGTGCTCCTGATCCCCCTGGCTCTGCTGGTCTGTTGCCTCTGAAAGCCTGCTGGTGAGGAGGGGGCTGGAGAGGGATGGGAGGAGTTAGGGACGGTCAGGGTCTGGGGTGGTGGCCTGCCTGTGGGGAGGGGGCTGGCGGAGAGAGAGCTCAGTGAGGAGCTGTGGGGCAGAAATACAACAGTGGGGACCAGCTGTGTTACCCTATTAATCCTGTCTGTTAACTGTGACTGTTCCCTTCTGATTAGGCACATTCTAACCTGGCTGAGAGCTGTTCGCCCAGGGACTTGGGGATTAACCTCAGAATGCAGTCCAGGCTCCTTTTCTGAGAGTTTCCTGTCTACTTGGAAAGATAACAACCTAGTCCCAGAGGCGCTCTCTCCCATTCGGCCAGAAATCCATCCTAATAAACTTTCATAGGACTCAACCTTGTCTCTGCTTAATAATTGACTCAAGGAGTGACAGGCACCCAGGCCCATCTGTGTCGGGTTCAGAGGGAGGGGTCCAGGCAAGCGTGGGGTGAGGCTCATGGAGGGGTTGGGGCAAGTTCTGCCTGACAGCCTTGTTGTCTCTTAGGCCACCACCTGGACTTGCCTGTTTCCCTCTGGGTTTCCCTGACCTGGCAGTTCTGAGGGACAACATGGCTGTGGGGAGGGCAGGGTTAGGGGGAGGCCAGGAGCCAGGTGGCAGGGGGTGGTTCATGGGGCAGCCTTAGAGGTGGGGACGCATCAAAGTTGGCCCAAGGCTGCCACCCCCCCACACCTCCTGGCTGGGCAGGTCATGAAGTGGGAGGGGGCACCTGTTCTTTGCTGTCATGGTTTCTGGAAGGTAACTTCTTCTGGGGTCTTTGGGTTCCACAAAATAAGCATCCCCTTTGGGGGAAGGAACTTACTCTGTAGTTCCTGGAGGATCACTGTGTCAGTCCCAAGCACCTGGGACCCCTTGATGTCTACACCAGCCTCCTTGCTCCAGAATGTTCCCAGAAGCCCACAGGGTTTGGTCAGGTACCACCCCACTGCCTACCCAGCCCTCTTTTCTGATGGATTCACCCTAAAGGGCTGTCCACCCTTTCCCCACCCCCATCGGTGCTCACTCAGTGCTCAGCATTCTAGTCTTATCTCCTCACCCAGCTCCTGAGGCTCTTGTTCCCCATCCGTTTCCATGGAAATGGAGGCTGTGAGGAGAAGGACATCTTGTCTTGGTTCCCCA